CCCCATTTTGAGGACCTTTTCAGGAGCTTATTGAGGTCAAAACTATTTTCATAATAACACTAAAACGTTTTTTTTTATTTGCCTTTTCCACTGTCACTCACTCATCAGTGCGCCCTGGAGTTTTCCAGAGGTTCACAGCAGGTGATGAAGTCACAGCTTCAACGTCTAATGGAATGTATGCTTTGGTATTCTTGGATTTTAAAACTTTTCTCAGCCTTAATCAGTGGTTGCCAAGGACTGGAGGTGGGTGGAGGAGTGGACTACAAAGGGACAGGCAGTAATTTTATTTGGGGTGGGGGGGTGAAGGTGCTATACCTTGTTTGTGGTAGTGGTTACACCACTATGCATTTGCCAAAATTCACAGAACCAAATATAGGTGAATCTTACTGTATAAATGATACTTCAGTTTAAAAAAAAACCCAAAATTGTTTCTCGATTTTAATTTCTAATAGTGTACATATACTTAGATATAACCCACATACACAAAAGATCTCAGAAATTTTTAAGTATACCAAAGGGTCCTGAGACCAAAAACTTTGAGAGCCACTAAATTAAAGCTTTGATTTCTTTACTAAAGCAGGTGCAATCACTTGCTCCGGAGTTGGGGAGAGTGATTAAAAGGGAGCGCAAATTCTCTCTGGCTCTAAGGTTCTAGAAGCTGTGTTGTCCAACGTGGTAGCCACTGGCCACATGTGGCTATTGAGCGCATGAAAAGCGCCCGGTTCAAATCGAGATGTACTTAGTACAAAAAAGAATGTAAAGGATCTTGTTAAAAACTATTATAAAGAAATGACAATATTTTGGACATAGTGGGTCAAGTAAAAGCTAATGTTAATATTAATTTCATCTTTAAAAAAAAACTTTCACGTGGCTATTAGAAAATTTAAAATGTGGGGCGCCTGGGTGGCTCAGATGGTTGAGCGTCTGCCTTCGGCTCAGGTCATGATCCCAGGGTCCTGGGATCGAGTCCCGCATCAGGCTCCTTGCTCAGCAGGGAGTCTGCTTCTTCCTCTCCCTCTGCCTCTCCCCCTGCTTGTTCTCTGTCTCTCCCGCAAATGAATAAGTATATATATAAAAAAAGGAAAATTTAAAATGTGGCCTCCGTTATAGTTCTACGGGACAGCGCTGCTCTGGAGAGTCTTCACCGCCCATCTCTTGTTTCCACCACTTACAAGCTACTTCCTACTTCCTGTGAAGTGTGGGTCACGTTAGGGTCGGTGTGAAGGTAGAATGTGAGTAATGCATGTGACGTACTTAGCAATGCATGTAAGTAAACAGTAAGTTCGGTGGCTATTGTCGAAGGCCTCGCTCTCTCTACTGATGCCATCAGAGGTGGGCCAGCCTGCTCAGTAAAGGCCCTTCCTCTGCGACCTATTTACACTCTGATGACAACAGAGGGTGATAACTAAGGGTGGCCGAGGCCTGATCCCGCCTTCGGGCGGGACTGCCCTCTTCATAACGAAAAAATTAAAATGACCCCAGGAGCTGGAAGTGGGACATCTGTATTTAGAATGCACCGAGCCAGAGTAAAAGTTGAACACCCAGCGGGCAGCGGGCCGCAGGCCCTCCCTTGGTAACCGACGCCGGCGCCGGTTGCTAAGGGGAGAAGGGGAAACAAGGATGTGGTCCGTCGGCTCTTGTCCTCCGGCGGCAGCTGCTTCCGCTTCTCCGGGCAGCCCGTACTTCCTCCTACCTTCCCCGGAAGAGCTGGGACTGCGGCTGCGGGTTCCGCCGCCTCGGGAGCCTTGGGAGCCCTCCGTCCAGCGCGGTGGTAGCGGCGGGGCCGGCGGCGGCTCTCCCGCGCGGCAGCGATGCTGAGCTCCCGGGCTCAGGCGGCGATGACCGCGGCCGACCGGGCCATCCAGCGCTTCCTGCGGACAGGGGCGGCCGTCAGGTGAGCCTTGGGGGGCGGGGCGGCCGGAGAGGCCGGGGCCAGGGTCCCCAGCTCGCGCCTGCGGCGGCCTTTCACCGCGCTGGCAGGGTCCCCAGGGCCGGAGCGAGCATTCCGGAGGCTTCTGCGTCGGGCTCGGTTGGAGGCCCAGGCTCCGAAGCGGGACGGCGGATGGGCCCCCAGGCCCTCCAGTTCTTCGGCAACGCCAATTCTGTCGGCCCTTCCCAGTTCTGCTAGCGCCCCAAATTCTCAGTGCCCTGCCTCCCACCTGCCAGTGCCTCCTCCAGACCTGTCCTGTCCCCCGAACTTCCAGACACCCTCAGGCTTGTCAAAGCCCCGAATTCTGCCAGTGTCCCTCCGACCTCTCAGTGCCGCGCAGGCCTTCCAGGACCCCTTAATCCTTTCAGGGTACCCCCAGTCCTTCTGGGCCCCCCGGTCTTGTCATTCCCTGGGCCGCCAGCGTTCCGCAGTCTTGCCAAGCGCCCCAGCCCTGCCGTGGTTCTCACAGCCCTGCAAAGCGACCCGGGTCTGCTAGCCCTTACCCCATTTTGTCAGTACCCCTATTCCTGTCATCCGCCCACCCCCCAGTTAAGCCAAGGATCCCTTATTCTGTGTGGGTCCTCAGTCTTATTAGTGAATCTCTATCTTGCAAGGGTTCTGGAACAGATCAGGACCCCTTAACCTGTAAAGGCTTCCAGTCCTGTTAAGGTCTCCCATTCCTGCTAGGAACCCCAATAGTATGGGCCCCCAGTCCTGTCAGGGACCCTATTTCCCTTCTTTTCTTCATCCTCCCATGGGCTCCAGTCTTGAGAGCTGAACACTGCACCCCCGTTACTGACCCGAAATGACTGAGACCTGTTGCTCAGCCTAGCTGCTTTCCCCTGGAACTGGAGCAGGTTTAAAGAGCTTATTAGTCCAGGGCCGGGAGCTCTTAATGGCTATCCTATCCAGTGCCCCCATTCTGTAGATGGGAAACAGGCCTTCAGATGGCTTTGCCCGTGGCCCTACAGCTGACCTCAGAGTAGAGCTGGGGGAGAAGACAGATCTTTTTATTCCCAGACCCCACTGCTCTCCTTGTGTTGTCATTTTGCAGAGGAATGGGGGTTCCAGAGTCACCAAATTTCACTGGGTTTATTTGTCCATACCTTGCTGAGGAACCTGGGCAAGTCCTCCCTCCCATCCCTTCGACACTCTGTCCTTCCGTTTCCCTCACAAGGTTTGTGGTTTTAAGCACAGACTTGGCATGAGTTCAGATCCACGCTGCCTCACTCACTTTGACCAAGTTGGCTACATCTCTAACATGAAAATGAAGATGAAAAAGAAAGAAAGAAAGAAAATGAAGATGATAGGGGCACCTGGGTGGTTCATTCGGTTAAGCGTCTGCCTTCAGCTCAAGTCATGATCTCAGGGTCCTGGGATCGAGTCCCACCTCTGGCTCCCTGATCAGTCTGCTTCTCCCTCTCCCTCTGCCCCTTCCCCTGCTCGTGCTCTCGCTCCCTCTCAAATAGATAAAAATCTTAAAAAAAAAAAAAAAGGAAGGAAGAAAGAAAAGAAAATGAAGATGATAATAGAACCTACCTGTGGATTGTTTTCAGGATGAGATAAGATGATCACAGTGCCTGGCATAGAGTATGCACACTTAAATATTAGTGTTTGCTTAGAGGATTTAAAGCAGTTGTAAAAGTGCTTTAGAATTTCAGTGATGGTTCTTTTTAACCTTTCCAGGCACTTTTGTTAATACACCTGTTGCGTGGAAGTCAGCACAATAAAGCACTAAGAAATTCAAGGATAACTTTCCCGAATGAAATTGAGATGATAATAGTTAATAATCATAGCGGCTAATGTTTATGAAGCCCTTACCTTTGCCTCCTATGCCCTAGCACTTGTTTGATTCTCAGAACTCCATGAGCTAGGTCTCATGGTTGTCCCCATTGTACATGTGACAAAGCTGAGCCTGAGACGCTAAAATGATCCTCTAAGGAATAGCAGAGCCAGAATCGAACCAGATTAATGCAGTGCCCCTTTCTTAACCAAGTTCTCTGTGCATTCTGTTGACTCTGTGTTCAGAGAACAAAGATTTATTTGGAATTCAGTTGTCAGTTATGTATCATACTAGTTATGACATTAGGAAGATGTTGGTTTAATGTTGACTGAGCTGAGCTCAAAACAACATTCATATGATCCAAATATTGGAATAAGAACATATTACACACACAAATACACATATCAAACACATGTATACAGGTATATATTACACATATATATATTCACACACATATCGTTTGTCTTATTTGGTGGAAATACGTAACTTTGTATAAAAACTGTTTTAAATTGCTTAAATGTCTTCATTTGTAGTAAAAGAATAACTTCAGTGCTTAAGTCAAGTCTCAAGAAATTTTTGATTTAGTAAAGATTTAGAAGATCCTTTATGCTATTGTTTGCCTCCTCCCTGTTTAATATTCTAAAAGATAAATTCATTTCTATATGTTTTCTCCAGTATCCAGTCATTCAGTAAATACTGTTAGGGACCTCTTAGGTGCCAGGCATGATCTAGAGACTTGGGATATGTCAATGAGTAAAACAGACAAAGATCCCTGCCCACAGGGACTTTGCTCCCCAGTGAGGGACACAGACAATAACCGTAGTTAATAAGTGAATGTTTATGGCAGAAGGTGGTAAAAAGAAAACGCAGAACTGGGTAGCAGGGACCAGGAGTGCAGGTTCTCACTGTTGGTTAGAAATGCACGGGAAGTGAGCGAGAGAGCCATGCAGTGATCTGGGGAGGGGGAGAGTATTCCAGGCAAAGGGAGCAGCCATGCTAAGGTCCTAAGGTAGCCGGTGTGGGCGGTAGAGTAAGGGGGGAAAACCTGGGCTCCCCCTCTGAGTGAGATGGGGCTTCTGTGCCCTGACTTAGGTTTTAAATCCTGTCTGAACATAGCTGATTTTCAAGACATAATCCTGTACCGTATGATGACTTCAGCTTGAAAGTTAGGTATCGGGTGGGCCAGTCGGTTACTTTGATGAAATGTTATTTCCTCGTATCTCTATCTGTATTTACACATGGTGCGTTTGTGATGAGGGAAGACAGTAAACCTATTTTTCTTTCTAGGTATAAAGTCATGAAGAACTGGGGTGTTATAGGAGGAATTGCTGCCGCTCTTGCTGCAGGAATCTATGTGATTTGGGGTCCTATTACAGAAAGAAAGAAGCGTAGGAAAGGTAAGAATGAGGTCATTAACCCCGTACTGTCCCACAACAGTACAATAAGGGGTGGGCATTTTTTTGTTCTCTTGTATCTCCAGCTTTCGGACAGCGCTTTCTTTTAAGCAGAAATTAATGACTCATTATTTTAGACCCTATAGTACAAAGATTTCTGTCCCCCCCCCCCCCCCCCGTCAGATCTTGAGTTTGAGACATGCTGTGTCACGAAAAAGTTCACATGGCTTAACTGACTGTTCTCCTTCATCTGGTGCTTGTGTTCAGCAGTGCGGCTGACTGATTGTGTGATGCGTTTTTGTTCTCACTGCTGAGCTGCTAGTCGGCTAGGAAGAGTTTCCAGTTGGCATCTTTAGGACAAAATTCTATTTCCTTATTTTAAAACAAGCCCCCTTTTGTAAATGCTACTCTCCCTATGTTGATTAGAACTCAGCCACAACAAGCAAACAAAAAAAGGGATCAGTATAGCAAAATGTTGATCGTTGTTAAATCTGGGGGTGGTTATGATTGGAGGTGATGATATATATCCTCTTCTTTTATGCATGCGTGAGGACTTTCCTAATAAAAAGTTTCTTGGAAAAGTTTCAGCAGAAAAGGGAAGTATGTCAGATTTTGTCGCTCTCTCTGCAGAAAGACTGATCAAAATTGTTGTGGTGGTGTCTTTCACACTGATTCCAAGAACAAAAGCATTGTCCTGGGGAGCAACAAAAGAACAGTTGTTTTCTTCTGTTCTGATGTTGCTTTCTTATCAAAGGAGAGAGAGAGAGAGATGTTACGAAGTGTTTTGTACAAACTGTGCCAGACACCGTGGTGGCGGTCAGAAGTAACCCATGACAGGGGACCTGCCCTTCTGTCACTTCCAGTCTTCTGAAGGAGCAGCGCTGGGACCAGGCCTCCATACGGACAGAATGCCTGGTCCCCCCCCCCCCGCCCCAACATCTGTGAATAAGGACTTTCTGAGATTGGGATTTTCAGTGTCAGGTTCCAGTGCAGAAAGTCTGGCTCCCAAATGGGAGAGAAAGAAAGAGCAGGTCCAATGTGATATGCTTTTCTCTTCTTCCCCCGACTTTTTTTCAGGGCTGGTGCCTGGCCTTGTCAACCTAGGGAACACCTGCTTCATGAACTCCCTGCTGCAAGGCCTGTCTGCCTGCCCCGCTTTCATCAAGTGGCTGGAAGAGTTCACCACCCAGTACACCCAGGATCAGAAGGAGCCCCCCCCCCACCAGTATTTATCCTTAACGCTGTTGCACCTCCTCAAAGGTATCTAGCTGGGAAGTTAAAGGGGATTGTGTACATTTTGAAAGCAGCAGCCCAAATGACAGGCAAAGGGTTAATAGCTTTTGTGTGAAAAAAGATCATGCAGATCATCATGAAAAAAACAAAACACACTAAGGGCCCAGTAGATACAAACAGCTATTTAAAAAAAAATTTTTTTTTAAAGATGTAACCATTTATTTTTAAAAAATTGTCAGTGTATTAACAGCTTTTTAGGGAAGAGAACAAATCCACTGCCACTTAAGCATTTTGATTGTAAGAAGTCCTCTGGTTAATTAAAGTTTAGAAAAAAAGAAGCGTCTTAGCCTAAGAAATAAGGTGGTTCGCAGAAGAAATAGTACAGACTGTATTTAGGTAGATAGTAAGAGTATCTAACGGGCACTCAAATACTCAACTTGGCCATCATCAAAGAAATAGAAATAACATAGCGGTGAGGTTATCATGTTGCCTGTCAGCAAAGACTGAAAACTCCACAGTCCTGCCCAGCTGTTGGATGACACGTTCAGACATGCTCGTGGCAGTGTGACCCAGGTCCGGCTTTATGGAGAGCAGCTTGGAATGGCACGGTGATAGCTTGCAAAGTGCTCAGTACCATCTGACCTAGGAATTCCGTTGACCATGACTGACGCTAGCCTGAAATGGAGTTGTAAGAGCAGATGAGCCCGGGAGTGGCTGACCAGCTGCCCTGAGCTTGGAGAGTCACAGGTATACCGGCTTGGCACGCTTAAAGCCGTCATCCATCCACCTTCATTTTTAAGCCAGCTTTTTTGCCTGTAGAACTAGTTTTTCCTCCCATAACATCTCTGAACGTCCTGAGGACGTTCCACAGAACACGATTTGGGAAATGCTGTGATGTGCACAAAGATTTCCCAACACCTGGTTACAAAGGAAGGCCGGAGAGGAGAGCGTGTGCGTGTCCCAACAGCAAAATGGTTAGGCAGTCACTGGAATATTACATAGCCATAATGAACCATCTTTGTCAAGTGTTTGTTGTTGTTGTTGCTAACGTGGGAGAGGCATAGGCTATAACGTTAAGTTTAAAAGAGCGGTGTTTGAAATATGTTGTAATTTGACTTCAGCAAAGCAAAGATTTCCACGGATAAAGGCTGGACAGAAAAAGACCAAAATGTTTACTATGGCCATTTGACAGTTTGGGAACCTTAAAACAAACAACCATATTTTTAAAGCTCTCAAAGGTAAGCACGTATTACTCTCACAGTGAGAAAAAAATTGGATTTAGAAAACGCTTGGCTCACTGTTGCTTTGCGGAGACATGTTCCCAGGTGATCTCAGCTTGACACAGAAAGCGAGTTCTGCTCTTCTGTGTAACAGGCGAATTGAAAGTAATTTCTTCTGCTCCCCTGTTTTAAACAAGTACCATCCCCGAGTGGAAAGCTGAAATGCGGGCGGGCGGTATAATGCAGGTTCAGGACGTGTCCTAGCGTGACCGCCAGTTCCCCCCTCTTCACATGCATGACCCAGAGCTGGGAACCAGAGCCATGCGGGCAGCTACACCTGGAATCTAGGCTCCCTTCCCTGCCTCTCCTTTGCAGGGTCATTTATTTTGGTTTTTAGAGATAATTTTTAATTTCACAAGTAACGCATGAATACATTCTGCTGGTAAAAATGAAAGCATCACGTGTAAGGCGACAGTTCCCTTTATCACTGCCCCACTCCTGTACCCCTCATTTCTTTCCCAAAGAAAATACAAGTGTATCTTTTCAGACTGTTTTCTGTGCATTTTAATATGTTTCTAAGCACCCAAAGAAATTAACATATTGTTTATGTTTTTTCATAACCAAATAGCATAATAATATCCATGTTGGAGAAATGTCCATTCCAGTACATGTAGCCCTACCTCATTCATTTCTTTCTCTTTGTGAGTTTATCAGTCTTATGTCTTTTGTGGGTTGCCTGCTCATTCCCACTGCCCAATTTTTAAAAATTGTGATAAAATATAACATAAAATGTACCATCTTCACCATTTTTAAGTACACATTAGGTAGCATTGAGTACACTCACATTGTTGGGTAACCATACCCACTATTCTCTTCACCAGAACTTTTCCATCATCCCATCGTGAAACTCTGTATCCTTTAAGCAGTGACTTCCCATTCTCCTTGATGCCCAGACCCTGGAAACCACTGTCCTACTTTCTGTCTCTGAGTTTGACTCTGTATCTCACAGAAGTGGGATCATACAGTATTTGTCCTCGTGGGTCTGGCTTATTTCACTCAGCATAGTGTCCTTGAGGTTCATCCACGTTGTAGCATGGGTCAGAATTCCATTCCTTTTAAAGGCTCCGTATGAATAATACCCCATTGTGTGTACACACTGCATTTTATTTGTCAATTCATAAGTCAAGAAACATTTGGGTTGTTTCCACCGTTGGCTATTGTGAATAATGCTGCTGTGGGCATGGGTGTACAAATATCTACTCATGTCCCTGCTTTTAATTCTTTTGGGTATATACCTAGAAGCGGAATTACTGGATCAGATGGTAATTCTGTTTAATTCTTTTAAGGGCTTGCCATACAGTTTTACAGGGCAGAGGTACCATTTTGCATTCCCCCCAACAGTGCACGCAGGGCTCCAGCTCTCCCACATCCTTGCCAATACTTGTTATTTAGTCTGTCTTTTTGATAGTAGCCATCATGGGTGTGAAGTGATCATCTCATTGTGGTTTTGATCTGCATTTCCCTACTGGTAAGTGATGCTGAGTAGGAGTTTTCATGTGTTTCTGGCCATTTGTATTATTGTGGTTTTATTGTGGTTTTTTTGTGTTTGTTCCTGTTTTATAAATGTCTACTCAAGTCCCTTGTCCATGTTTGAATTGGGATGTCTGCATTTTTATTGTGTTTCGGGAGCTCTTAATATGTTCTGGATAGCAATCCCTTATCAGATCTGTGATTTGCAAACCTCATTCACTTTCACCGTTGCACAGTATCCATAATGTCAAGATATTATTATTTAGCTATTTGCCTCCAGGGCCTTGTTGTCATAAGCAGGCTACAGTGAATGTTCTTGTTTGTGCCCATAGTGCACACAAGCCTGTGTTGCCCTGGCGTAGATCCTGGGAGAGTCGGATATAAACTGTGGGTTATGAAAAGTAGTAGACATTGCCATATCGCCCCACAGCATTTTAGGCAAAATTAGGCTAAGAGGGACTTAAAATTTTCCTTCAGAGGAAAAAAGCTAACCGACAGGCTGCCTGAGGAGCATAGGAGGAAGAAGAAGAAGGGAAGTATGGTTGCCTTCTTAATGGGCTCCCTTTGTTCTGGAGGGTAAAGGTCTGACACCAGGCTATGTCTGCCCCATTAAGATGAGCCTCAGGACTTAGCAGTGGCTAGCAGGGCTGCTGCTTCTCCCCTGGTTACCACCCTGAGTCACCACCACGTTCAGGTAGGGATGGCGGTGGCATTGCTCAGAACCTCCCGAGTCAGAGCCAAAGGAATGTCTCAAGTTCACTAAGTGCAAATCAGAAGAAACAGGCTAGCTTAGTTTTCCCGGAGTTAATTGAACTTGGGAAGCTGCCCTGTGCTGGCAGGCCCCTGTATTTTTTTTTTTTTTTTAAAGATTTTATTTGGCAGAGAGATACAGAGAGAGAGAGCAAGTAGGCAGAGAGGCAGGCAGAGAGAGAGGGAGAAGCAGGCTCCCCGCCGAGCAGGGAGCCCGATGCAGGGCTCGATCCCAGGACCCTGGGACTATGACCCGAGCTGAAGGCAGCCGCATAACCGACTGAGCCACCCAGGTGCCCCAGGCCCCTGTATTTTTATCTCCCACACTCTAGCAGTACTGGCCCAGTGAAATATACTGTGGAAGGGAGCGGGCAAGATCAGGGATCAGCGAACTATGGCGCGTGGGCTACGTCTGCACCACTGCCTGTTTTTGTCAATAAAGTTTTATTGAAACAGCCATGCCCATTTACTTGCTCTTTATGGCTGCCCTGGTGTTACAGCAGCAGAGTTGAGTAGTTGCTGCAGAGCCCGCAAAGCCAAAAATGTCCCCTGTCTGACCCCTGACTGAAAAAGTTTGCCAACCCTTGATCGAGCTGTAATTATAATATAAACTCATAAGCCCCTCACACTTCTATTTTTGTTCATTCGGCTTGATTCTACTTATGACTGAAAAGTAAACTCAGGGGTGCCTGAGTGGCTCAGTCAGTTGAGTGTCTGGTTCTTGGTCTTGGCTCAGGTCTTGATCTCACAGTCATGAGTTTGAGCCAAGCGTTGGGCTCTGTGCTGGGCGTGGAGCCTACATAAAAAAAAGGAAAAGAGGGAAAAAAAAAGGAACGGAAAGTAAACCACTCAGCAGCCCCCTTCAGGCTGCCATGTATGACTTGCTGTTTTACCATGATAATCAGAAACTCCAGGGAGACGGACACAGGTGAAGGCCCTGTGGCCTCAGAGAGAGTCCTATAGAGGGGAGTCAAGCACGGAGTGTGGGTTGGACTAGATGAATGTTTAAGGGCTCTCCTGCCCTCAGAACTGTGAGTAAAAACCATTTGATTCACTAGGAATCTTGCAACAATTTATATCGATGATGGAAATTCAAATAGCTGCAATCAGTTACTTCGTTTAAATGCTACGGGCTCATGAAAAATCACGTTCATTCAGGAAACACACAGTGCCTAACCGCCCTCTAAGCCTTGGGTAAGACTACAAAGAGGAATACTGAAAGAGCTATAGTCCCAAGGTGAATTTTATAGTGAGATGCTTAATTAACTTTGTTACGTTGTGCAGGGCAGGTTCCCTGGTTTCTTGTGCTAGTGATGCAATCTAATAATTGCATTACCTTTTTGGTTCCCAGCTCTGTCCTGCCAAGAAGTCACCGATGATGAGGTCTTAGATGCAAGCTGCTTGTTGGATGTCTTAAGAATGTACAGATGGCAGATCTCTTCATTTGAAGAACAGGTGAACACCCCATTCAAAATCCTGCCCGCTAATGCGCCGGGGCCTGAGCTGGCAATGACGGCTGGAAACTAGCCTTGTTGCTGCCGCGTGAGGAATAAATGCCAGTGTTGACCTTGTACTTGCCTGGCCTGAGTGTACATTTCTGGGGCAGTTTAGGATTCTGGGACCAGATCACAAACTTTGTTCCTCTTCTCCCGACCAGAGGAGGAAGACAGCTGTTTTTGTTTCTGGTTTTTTTTTGTTTTTGTTTTTGTTTTTTACCCAGGGAGTGGCAAGGTTAGCAGGATAGGGTTTGGACAGTTGCCAAAGAGCGAGCCTCCTTTTCGTCCTCGAGTGACGTTGCACTTGATTACCTGGGTCCTTCAGAGAGCAGCCGGTGGCTTTACCTTAGAAGCTTAGAGGTTCAGGTGAGACCCTTTTTTGAACCATACCCTCATTTAAAAAAAAAAAAAAAATCGTTTCTCGAGGCTAGATTACTTGAAATGGCCCCCGACCTTGAGCAGCCGTCATGAGCAACCCCAGGGCCTTACGCCAGCCCCTCGTACCCGCTTTCCCGCAACTACAGATTCACTGCCTCTTTTGGTCCTGCCCACCCTCCTCCTCCTGGGACCGCTAGTATGGACGGTGAGTCTGAGGCCGAAGCTGAGACAGTGAAGTTGTAGAGACAGGTCATTTAGCTTCCAGTGATGTGCAGGTACGCCCTCCCTGGCCACACTCCCAGGCCAGCTTTGGCCAGCTTTGTGTTGGCTGCTTCTGCCTCCACCATCCAGACACTGGACCCAAGAAATGGGAGACGGCCTTTAGGCTCCCCAAAGGGTGGGACCGGAGTGAAAAGCATTTAGAAATGCTGGAAAGGGAGGTGGGAAGGCTCTCCATTCCCCTTATTTTATAAAGACTACCTCTGTTTCCATTTTAGTCTGAAGCCACGTAGGTGTTCCTTTTTTTAAACATGGTGTTGAAGGTACCAACTTTCTTACAAGGCATCTCGATGAATCCCTTGTATATTGAAATGTTTTTCCGTTTAGAAAATACTTATTAAATCCTCCTCTGGTAGCTGCCATGATTTAGCTGCGTTTTCCTCTCTCTAACCTGAGAGAGTGACTGCGATTTAGTCCCAGGGACATCGGATACCTTGTCTAAGTCCCGCTCTTCTGTCAAGGACCCACTGGCGTGCCAGTTCCTCCGGGCAGTGTTTCCAGCAGCCTGAGCCTGCAGCAGTCACTGAGGCCCGCAGCTGTAGCGGTCAAGGGAAAGAGGCATGGCTGGCTGCTGGCCTCTGCCTCTCTGAAGGCAGCCGGAGCTTCTGGCCCGGGGCCTTGTCCACATCATTATTCCTGATCTTGTCAGTCAACGGCAGACACTTTGCAGTGTCTGGAGCTAGAGCTGTGGGGCAGGTATCGGGCCAGGCGCTTGCCTCGTGTGAATTCTCTGAGTTCATCCTCACGGCAGCCCTGTAAGGTCTCACCGTTACTGTCCCCATCTTGCAGATGAGAACACTGAGGTTCACAGAAGCCCAAAGTCACACAGCTCCTTAAGTGGCAGAGGCAGGATTCGGGCCACTCGTGCTCAAGTGCACAGCAAAGCTCCACCCTCTTCTTCGAGGCATTCCTTTTGTCAAGGCCAAGTAGTTCCATGGCCGACAGTGATGGAATAGGGTTTGGGTCTGACTCCAGGCTGTGTTGGGATTCTTCTCCCTGGGGAACCCTTGCTCCTGCTTCACAGACAAGATGCCTTGTCTGTGAGCCTCCTGGAAAAGCTGGTCCCCTTTCAGGCGGTAGCACCACCGCTAGATAAATAGCCAGGCGGCCCCATCTACCCCTGGGTTGTGCGTTCCACGAGGGCCTTGCCTTATTTATCTTTGAACCTTCCATCACTCTCTTGCTAACTGCCATTCATGGCCTAGGAGGGGATTCTTGTATATGGGCCTCAGATGTTTATGGAATGCCTGCCTCAGGCGGGACCCGTGGAGGGCCTGGGCTCGTGGTGGCAAACAGGACTTGCAGGGCTCCTGCTCACAGGGAGCTCCCATTCTAGTGGAGGACTGTGGACAGTAAAAGGGTCCCGAGAAGACAAGCGTGCTGATGGGCCGGTGTGAGTGTGGGGGGCCTGGAGCTGGGGTGAGGGGCAGAAAAGCAGTGGGGAGACTCCTTCAGGTAGGGAAGGCGCTTCTGGAGATGCGAGGTTTTTGCTGAGACCTGAAGTCTGAAAAGAAGGGAGGCCTGTGAGGAGCTGGGTGCAGAGTGTTCCAGACGGGACTGCGCAGGGTGAGACCTTAAGGATGCCGCGTTGGGGAAGGGCAAGGTGGCAGCGTGGCTGTGACCAGGGGCAGGAGGGCAGCGGAGGGGAGGGGCTCAGGCCGCGGCAGGTGGCAGATTGTGCAGGGCCCCAGGCGCTCTGCGCCGGAGCTGGGCTTCTGCTCTGTGTGCAGTGGGGACCCACTGGCAGCCTTGTACAGGGACTGATGTGACCTGATCTGTGTTTGAACAGGGCCTGCTGTCCCGGAGGGACTGTAGTGGGCAGAGGGAGCAGAGAGGAGGGTCGGGAGGGCGGCCGATGGCCTGGCTCAGACTGGGGTTGAGGCAGGGCGGATGGAGAGTCCTCGGGATTTGGGGTGTGTCCTGGAGGTGGCTGCACCGGCAGGAGGTGGCGGGGGGGGGAGGCGGGGGCCGGCTTCTTATGTCAGGGAGGGTCCTTGCAGGAGGGTCTCCTTCAGGACGTGCCTTCTCAGCAGAAATTTGAAGGATGAGAAGGAGGCAACTGTGTGAAGATGGGGGCGGGCTCCTCCAGCCAGGGTGCGGGAAGAGCAGGCCCCGAGATGGGAATCTGCGTGCTGGCTCACGGGGCGGGAGGAGGCCGGGTCGCAGGCCTGGTGAGCGAGGCCGGGAGCTCGAGGGGCCACATCACGTCTTTGGGCTTTGTAGGCTTCGGGCTTTGTAGGCTGGCTGGGGGTGGGGACTTACCCACCAGGGAAGGCACTGGGAAGTTGAAAGCGGAAGAGTAAAGGCACTTGCCTCTTAAAAGATCACCCTGGTGACTGCAGGGAGAGCATAACAGGGGTCAGTGCCTCCGGAATTCAGGGGAGGAGAGACCCACCCATCTCAGAAGAGTCAGGGATGGCTTTGGCTTTTGGGGAGAGCAGCCCCCTGCCATATGATGCAGCAATTCCACGTCCGGGCGTATGCCCAAAAGAACTGAAAGCCAGGACTCCAGCCGATACTTGTCCACCCATATACATAGCCGATCATTCACAACAGCCAAAAGGTAGAAGCGGCCCGGTGTCCAGCAATGCACGAATGGGTAAACAACATGCGGTGTGTGTGTGTGTACACACATGCAGTAGGATATGTATACGTGTGCGTACCTATGTATTCATATACACACACAATGGAATATTATTCAACTTTACAAAGGAAGGAAATTCTGACACGTGCTACACCGTGGATGAGCCTTGCAGACATTGAGCTCAGTGCAATAAGCCCAATCACGGAAGGACAAACACTGTATGATTCCTTATCCAAGTTTCCACAAGTGGCCCAATTGCTGGAGACAGAGGTGGCCGCCAGGGGCTGAGGGAGGGGGATGGGGAGTCAGTATTTAATGGGGACAGAGTTTCGGTTGGGGAAGCTAGAGAAGTTCAGAGGATGGGTTGTGCTGATGGTCACACAACAGTGTGAATGTACTTAACCCAGCAGGAGTGTATGCTTAAAAATGCTTAAAATGGCGGCTTGGACATCATGTGTGTACTTTACTGCAATAAAAAAGGAGTAGTCCGGTGGCGTGGAGGCCAGGGCCATGTTGACAAAGCTGAAACAGGCTCAGTCAGAGACAGCTGGTGTGAAGGCAGTGCTTCCCCCCTCCCCCCCCACAGCTTGCTTTCCTTCTCTCTCCCTTTGGGGCCCTTAGTTGAGGGCCTTTGTCGTGAAAATGTCTGGGATATAAATTTGCATTTAATGGGCCTAACCTTGAGAAGATGGAGAGCAGGGGCGCCTGGGTGGCTCAGTCAGTTAAGTGGCTGCCTTTGGCTTAGGTCACGATCCCGGAGTCCTGGGAGTCCTGGGATCGAGCCCTGTGTCGGACTGTCTCCTCAGCGAGGAGTCTGCTTCTCCCTCTCCCTCTGCCTGCTGCTTTGCCTACTTGTGCGCTCTCTCTATCTCTCTGTCAAATAAATAAATAAAATCTTTAAAAAAAAAAAAAGAGGGGCGCCTGGGTGGCTCAGTCATTAAGTGTCTGCCTTCAGCTCAGGTCATGATCCCCGGGTCCTGGGATCGAGCCCCACACTGGGCTCCGTGCTCGGCAGGAAGCCTGCTTCACCCTCTCCCACTCCCCTTGTTTGTGTTCCCTCTCTCGCTGAATTTCTCTCTGTCAAATAAATAAATAAAATCTTAAAAAAAAAAAGAAGGTGGAGAGCAAATTCTGCCCCGTTCGCTGCAGGGGGTCTGCCTGGTGGTGCACACAGGGCCCCCTCGGGCCTCTCTTAAGCTGCTTTGCCCTTTGACAGGATGCCCACGAGTTATTCCATGTCATTACCTCATCCCTGGAAGACGAGCGGGACCGGCAGCCCCGGGTCACCCATTTGTTTGATGTGCATTCCCTGGAGGTAAGCCCTTGGTATTTCCAAGACTTGTGTGGTTTGTGCATTTTCATAGGGATAGGTAGAGAACACGAGGATAATCTTTGTACAACTCTAAACTCAAAAGTCTCGGTAAAAATCAAGAGTGGGGGCACCTGGGTGGCTCAGTCATTAAGCATCTGCCTTCGGCTCAGGTCATGATCCCAGGATCCTGGGATCGAGCCCCACATCGGGTTCCCTGCTCAGCGGGATGCCTGCTTCTCCCTCTCCCACTCCCCCTGCTTGTGTTCCCTCTCTCGCTATGTCTCTCTCTGTCAAATAAATAAAATCTTTAAAAAAAAAAAATCAAGAGTGGGCGTGGGGCTGGGGGATTGTCTTATGCTGCAAACTTTGCAGTTGGTGACTTTGGGTAGGGGTGTCAAGGCTCTTTAAAATGATTCATTGCTGCAATTTGTGGTGGCTTTGAGAAGAAAAGGTATTTTTCCCCCTATTTAATACAGGGAGCAAGGAGCCATAGGAATGCTAAATGAATCCTCATTTCCCTGGAACATGATAAATATTAGGGAGTTGATAAAAGTTAACTAATAAAGGGGTGGGGAGAAATATTCCAGAGAGAGGAAATGTGTTTTTCATTTGATGAAGGATTAGGTACAGGAACCAACCAGAGAGAATCATCAGGGCTACTTTCAGGATCTGGTTAAAAATTGGGTTTAAGTGGTACAACCAGCAGAGAAACTTGTAAGCTTCAGGAGCAGGTGAGGGGGTTAAAAGGGATCGCAGCTGGGTTTTCAGTCTGGTTTTTTTTTTTCTTCTTTTTTTTCCCTACAGCAGCAGCCAGAAGTAACTCCTAAACAAATAACCTGCCGCACGAGAGGTAATCATTCCCTTCAAACTATAAGATGCAAGACGGGTACTTTTGAGATGTGACAATGATGTGCGTGTTTACAAAAACAATAACTTTTTTTCTGGGGACATCCAGTCCAGCTTGAACTGTGTGTACTTGCAAAGGAACTTGGGTTTTAGAAACAGCTCTACCTTGTTCCCTTGGGCCATCTTGAATTGTTCCCTCACACCTTGCTCAGTTTCCCGCCTGGAAAAAAAGTGACGGACTTATTTCTACTTCAAACAAGGGTTTCCTTTCTACCTTCTTGAATTGATCTCGTGAAGAGCTTCTTAGGCTGAAACTGTCATATCCTCAGCAAATGATCACTGTCCTCGTTAGAAGGAGATTGTTGTTTTCTTAAGACCTAAACTTAAGGAAAAAAAAAAAAGAAAAGACATGTGAATTCCTTTGTGCATCAGTAGTAATAACAGTGGTTATCTTTTGAGGCCCAAACTGTGTGCCAGGCACTGTAGCATCTCATTTAAGCCTCACAGCAATGGTGCGAAGTTGATCGTGGGGATAATGGGTTAATCATTGTCCTCATTCCCAGTGAACCAAGGTTCACAGAGATGAAGTGACTTCCTGGGTCATAAAACTAATAAGAAGCA